ATATAAATAGGGCGAATGTTATATAAGCAAACTCCTCTGTAAAAACCCTCAGAATATCAAAAGGATTAAAACTGGATCAGTGCAAGAGAAAAAAAACAAATTTTGAGAAATGGTAGGCTGTCAAAACTGGCGTTTCTCAGAAACACATAAAAAGACTAGTCAAAAGTGACTTGAACGACACAAGAGAGGTGTATCTCCAATGTATACAATGTATGATGAGGTATAGAGTGATATATTTATTGCAATGTGTATCATATCATATCTTCAAATTCGTCCTCAGAGGTGTTGACATAAAGACGTCCCAATAACTGATGTTATTGCGTGCTGGCCGTGTCCTTTTCAGGTCATAATAGTGTTGATAATATGAGCTGAGATGGATTATGTCCTTGCTATTTCCCTTGGCTGGACGACACATCCTGTGAAATGCTGCAGCCTGAAACCAAGGCCTTTGAAATCCAGATGGAAGCAGCTTAGACGCTCCTAGGGGACAGCTGCAGCGGTGCGGGTCAGACCTGAGGATCAGAGGACGGTGAAAACACACAAATGACTGCTCAGAACACAGACCAGCTATGTGAGAGCAGGCACGTACAACCGTCTGACCTTTTCAAGTCCTTGAAGGTCAAGAAGAAGAAATCAGGATTTAATTAAAAAGGAAAAAAATATCATCTCTGTGTAATGGCAGTATATGACTGGATGTGTGGAATTTATTAAAAGGAGGTGTTAGGCAGAATATCTGAGCTTCTCAATCGAAGCACACACTGATCTGGGGTGTCAGAAAAAACATCACAAACAACATGTTGTCCATGCAAGTCTTATGAAGCCATATAGCTTTTTCTTAAAAATCACGCCCTCCGCTGCATCAATAGCTGCGTTTCCATTACCCTTCAAATTGCACAAATTGATAGACACCTAATGGAAACACGTCAATTTCGCAAAACTCCCATATATCGCAAAAAAGTTTTTACGCTCACATGAGGTGGTTTTTCAGGCAATTCGAAAAAGGAATATATCACAAAACTGCTATGGAAACAGTTAATCTACAGGTCATCTGGCGTACGAAAAAATCACATGATCATTTTTTAACGTACTATAACCTCCAAGAAACACCTCATACATGGTCGCTCTCAAGCATGAGTGGCTTTCCTTGCCATTAATGCTTGGATGGATAACCCCTTATTTACACTGCTCACGTCTGGGGCGCATTACGGCTCCGACACAGCCACTCTACCAGCTGCGCCACGGCACATAAGCATCCAAGAAGTGGCTCTACGTGCTGCTTTGCTAAAGATACATGTATACGTCTCCTTCAATTAAAAATAATAGCCAGCGCAGTGGCTGCAATATACATAAACCTACCAACATCCGTCACCATGACTTATCACAAGAGTAAAAATTGCGTTTTTGTCCCATAACATCGGCTAATGGAAATGGTGTCATTTCACAATAGGTTTTTATCGACATTTATAAAATATCGCAAAAGTTTTGCGCAAATTTGTAATGGAAATGCACCTAAGGTCTTCTTCAACGACTTCTTCGAAAATTGCACTTCTCCATAACCAAACTTGTTGTACAAAGACTTGTCGTGCCAAGTGGATGCCAAACTCCATTGGTTCTCACATAAGTTGAAACCAATCAAGAGACTGAATATGTAGATGAGATTAAAGAGCTACTTTAGCAGTGAATAGCAACTTAAATTTCAGTCTGTTAAGATTTTGTACTTAATTAAAACCAAAACCATAAAAAATAAATAAACAAACATATTCCTTAATTAAAACAATATAAATGCTAGCTGAAAGAAGATGATAAAATAAGATGAAAAAAACTATATAGACATAAGCCCTATTCGGACGGGACTAGTTTTCTAAACTACGTTTGCGTTTCGATTCTTATCACCTGACGTCTGTGATTTCCATGTACCAATTCGGACGGGACTAACATCTCCGTGTTTATAACAGAGGTGGGAGGGTCTGTTTTGGACATCTGGGCGTTGCAGAGATCACACGCTCTTGGCGTGCATTGCGTTTAGTCATTCGGATTGATAGTATAACCAAAGTTTTACTACAAATACCATGGTGAAGCTATATGGCTAGTATAGCAAAATCATGGTTAATGTGTGGTTACTTTTTAACTATTTTATTTTTTTATTTAAAGTAAAACCATGTTTAATTTTCATAAAGGTACAAATGTAATTAAAACATTATGTAATTGAGTGCAGAAATGTAGGTGAGTAACGTTAAAGGGATAGCTCATCCAAAAATTAAAATTTGATGTTTATCTGCTTACCCCCAGGGCATCCAAGATGTAGGTGACTTTGTTTCTTCAGTAGAACACATATGATGATATTTAACATTAACCGTTGCAGTCTATCAGTCGTATAATGCATGGCAATGGTAA